AAACCATAACAGTGGGCGTTTTGCTTTAAACCCACTTGTGGTTAGAGCATCTGAACATATCCAGCACCAAGCATGGGAGGGAAATGATACATATGATTTATGTATCAAAAAGAAGGACACAAACCTAAGTAGAGTACATCTTTATTTCTGTAAGAATTTAAAAGTATTAACTTTCTGCTGAAAGCACCTTAGTGCATAAGTGCCTCCCTTTTTATCAATGGCCTGTGGGTCTGGCCCACAATCTCTTGAAACAACTGCCACAGTCCTGAAGTTACACGTCACACTTCATTCCAACTTTTGTATGCAGTTTTCTGGAATCAGTTACTGGACAAATTGTCTCAACAAAACAAAAGAGGTGATATCACCATATTCAATTTTTGATAAACAGGGTAAGTTTGAAGTCTCGTAAAAAAGAATTATCATGTATGTATACATACATACATTTATGTAAGTTAATTTTAGCAGGAAAACCCTGAAGTGGCATCTATGCCAATGTTGTCTTAAATTTTCCCTTCCCTCCTACCTGTTGTGAAAGAAAAGACCAAAACCAAAATGAGTAATAACTACAACCATTCACTACATTTAACATCTCTACAGCTTGGTAAGAGTGTTTGCCAAATTGAAGCTCAGTAAAAAATTAATGGGACTACTGGCCACAATTTATTAAGGAAATAAATGTTCTGAGTGCAACAGGAAGCTATCTAAGAGCTTTTGGTGGAGTTTTATTGCTCTGCCCTGGGTTTTGAAACTAAGCAGAAAGCTTAATGTGAAATCAATTCTGGGACATCACATCATCTATCTTATGCATGTTGCTAATCCCAGGCTTGTCCATGGCTTTAGCGCCTAACTTTTCAGCATCTCTAAGTGTCCCACATCTCTGCAGGATCATGCCATGGACACATGGCATTTTATTTATCAGAGAAACATTGGCTGAACCCACACAATTCCTCCTGAAGTTGTATCATAACAGACAGCTTGATATTTGGACAGTGTTCAAAGATCTATTGGATTGTTTTCATAGAGAATTTTGATGTCAGATAGATGGTGTGTATGTGTGTGTGTGTGTGGGGGGGAGTGTGTGTTGAGCAGCCATTGCAGAAAATAGAAAAATAAACGATACTCAATAATTAGTACGAGCCTACACAAGATTCAACATGGAAATCCCATCTAATTCAAAATTACTGGTCAAAATGGGTCAAAGTAATTGGATAATTAGCCTGCGAATGGGACAATCATCCAATTTTGAAAAGGTGAAAATAAATCAATCTTAGAAGGAGCACCACCAACACCAATTTCTCACTTCCAATTTCTCCCAAGAGTCTGAATATTTCCATGACCAATTAGGTAAAGCTCTAAGGCTATACGTTTTATTACATTGTATTGCAAGAAGGATATTATTCCTATTTTATATACCACAATTCAAAACCATCTGGACCTTAGAATATTATCACCCCTCTCACCCTATTTTTAAACACTTAGGCTTTTCTTTGAAGCCTGTGTGCATAAAGTGGGTTCAGTGTCTCTCTGTCTGAGACATACAGAATCTCAAATCTCTAGCATTCACATTCATGACCACAAACGGTAAGCGTCTGCAGCAACAGACTTAGGAAAACATGATCACCTACCTATCCTCCAGCCAGGCTTTTTTGGAAGCGGATAAAAAACAAGTACCTAAAAAAGGGCACTACCTCTAAAAAGGTAGGTCCTGTACTTTCCTTCAGAAGGGGGCAGAAGCCTTCTGGAAACTTCCTGGTGTTGCGGCCTCTCAGTGCATCCAACGCCACCGATGTGTGCCGGCAGGGGCCCAACAGGCCAGGCGTGGTTGGGAATGTATTTTCCGGAAGCAGAGCACTTTCTGGCAGTTCCTCCTTGTGGAGTCAACTCAGATGTGATAAGGAAGAAGTGTAAATTCCAGTATCTGCCTTCCCTTGCCCCCTTATGCACAACATCACAGCCCGGGGAGTTCTCCAGCACTCTCCAGAAAATTGCCAAGAGGGTTACTTGGTCTCTGGTGTTACTGTCAGGTACGGCCTATTGAAGCAACATTCTTGCCTCATATCCATTCTAACCCCTCCCAGATAAATCCCAGAGCAGTGGAAGCAGTGAAAATAGCAACATCAGCTCTTTTGCATCATTGGTGAGCCTGCTCATTTTGAACCACATTTGCAGTCGGTAACTCAAGACACAGTCGTGCATGGCAGGGATCTAGGCAGAAACAGGCCAAGTGCTCATTTCATATAGGAAACTGTCCCAGTTCCTAGGTTGGCAATCATTATGCATGGGAACTTTACCTTATCCTATGATTTTCTCTTTGCGAAATTTAGCATGGAATGACAGTGTCTAAAGATATTATACAAAGCATGCTTGAAAGAAAAACATTCAAGCTTCAGATCAAATGTTTTGTCTGAGACTAAAGCTTATTAAGACCAATATAAAAAGCACCAATTGGAATAATGAAAATACCCTGTCTGTGGCCAGCATGTATTTATAAAATGCACAAAGAGAGTGGTAAAACATTTTTAGATGTCAACACTCAAAGCTAAGTACCTTTTCCCTCCAACCTAGGGGGGGAAATATATATATATATTTTGTGTATATACACATAATAATACACATATATAATACACAATACATAATCTATATATTATATATAACACACAATATATATAATATATAAACACACACCCATATATATATGTATATATATATTTTTTTATTTATATATTTTTTAAAGTAGGCCCTACACCCAGGTAGAGCCCAGCATGGGGCTTGAATTCACCACACTGAGAACAAGACCTGAGTTGAGATCAAGAGTCAGGGACTTAACCAACTGAACCACCCAGATGCCCCAAGAGGAATATATATATATTTTTTACATAATTAAATAAAAGTTGGTGCTGTGACTTACTGGCAGTTTTTCTTCTGATTCCTATAAATGAATTCTGTTGCTTCAGGTGGAAACTTGGCTTGTTCACTAACCTTGGTCTACTTTTAGATCTGGGTAAGAAACCAGTGTCTTGGGAGTCACTCAGGATAAGAATAGGGCTTATTACAAAATTGTGTTAGTCTCCCTTTGTAGGAGTTAGCTTCAGGGAAGTCTGAATTTTCGCAACTGAAAAGTAGTCAGATCAGACAGGATAAAGAACTTGAACGTTGCTGAACATTATCAGCAGAGCTGGAATTTCTTCCTCTCACTCCAGCTGAAAGAATTCCTAATGAAGCCTTGCACGGACGCTACAGGACGACAGATCCAAAGTCCCTGCAACCTTGAGAGAAGACCCACAATTTGCAACTTCATACTTGCGATCCACCAGACACTTGCCAGGTTTCCAGGTGAGCCCACCCAGAAAGAGTAGAAGCGCGAACACCTGGCCGCTTCCTTCCGAGCGTACTGGTCAGTGTAGTTAAAACAGGCAACACCCTAGAAGAGGAAGTAAAGTGCGCTGCTCAAGGAAGGATACAGAACAGAGAAGTTTATTTTACACGATCCGTCCAAGAAAACAATCTCCATAAACCAGTGCAAAATGTGCAACAGAATCAATACGTGTGTCTTAGCTCTGAGAGCCCAGATTGGTGATTTCCTCTCCTGTTCCTCCTTCGGGCAGGTGCCCCAACGGCTAACGCTGGCCTCGGTTTGCACCACTGACAGAAAACATTCAACCAATGTGTAGCAGGTTATTTTTACAATTCATATCAGAATGTGTACAAGGGACGGGGGCGGAAAACCATACTGAATGAATGATAAGTGATCAGTGCTTAAAGTAAATACAGGGGGCAGCACGGGCAAGAATCCACAGTTTCAATAAATACAAGTGTAACAAGCATGGGTGGGTATCAACTCGGTGGAATTAGTCTGCATAATAATTCAGCATCATACAAAATCTAGCAGGGCTGTTGAGCAGTGATTGGCAACAACGTTCACAATAACTTAGGCCCTTGAGCAAGTCTGCATTGAACACATTCTGTGGTTCCGAAGGCGTCAGTCAGTTCTCTGTTTTCTCCTTCCCCGGCCATCCCCTCCAGGATGGGAGGGGTGGAGCTGGGGCAGCTTGGTGGAGGCGTCCCATGAGGAAGGACGCTGGCCCAAGAGCCAGCCGTCAGGGTCCAGTGTACTCAATACCGAGTGGCAAATCGGGACTTTATTGACGATGTCTGTGCAAAGTGTGCTTCTCTCCATTTTCCAAGAAACCAGTGTCTGTAACTCCTGCACGAAAAGCAGTGGTGGCCTCTGGGTCACTCCCTGTCACCCCACAAACACCAAGCGACGAGCGCGCATCTCAGGGACTCACGGGCTGGGAAGCTTCTGGCGCTGACTGCCTGGCCCTGTCACAGTCGGGGAATGGAACCGGGGCCCCTCGTCCAAGGCCTCAGGCAGGCTAGAACTATTGCTTGAGAGACTAGAAGGTACCTAGTGAGAAAAAGATGATCCTAATGGCTACGTGGGAAGCGGTCTTCTTCCTCGAAAGCCTCGTGCCCCCTGGGTGACGCCTATGGGACTTCCGGGAGGCGACCTCTGCTATGAAACGTCACGCGTCTGTCCCCGGTGGCCCCGCCCACATGTGCGTCTCCTAAGCGCTACATGCATGCGTAGTCTACCGTGCCTGGGATGCGATCCCAGAACACACGGCAGGGACAGCCTGTGGGGCTCATCTGCTAATCCAGAGCCCAGTGAAAGAAGAGGCAAGAGAAGCTCTCCGTCTCTGGAAGAAAAGGAAGAAAAGGGGGAAGGCCCCCTCCCCAAGTGAAACAACCTCCCCAAACCCAATCACCTAGGCATCACCTCGAAACATAACGAAATCCCAGATACTCCCTAGCATCGATATACCCTCTCCTCTCTATTCCTTTGACAGTCTCAGGTCATAAATGAGGTTTGTCTTCCATCCAATAACTTAAAAAAGGAGGAGGGATTGTAGTAAGTTTTGCCTGGCTTGGGCCAGTTAGCAGCCAGTTTTGTTTTGTTTTTGTTTTTTTGTTTTTGTTTTTGCCCCCCCCCCCCCCCCCCCCCCGAATCTCAGTCACTGTTCAAAAATGGAGCTTGAAAATTCACGCGGATGTCAGAGTCTTCACACGGAGGAGACGGGAAGGGGTGGGCCGGAGGAACCCAGGGAGGAGGATGGGGAGCAGGGAGGGGCGGGGACAGCCTGGCCACCGAGGCAGGAGCGGAGGCCTGTGACCAGCGCGGGAGAGCCAGAGGCCCCGGCCCCGGGGACGGGGGCGGCCCGCGTGACTCAGGGTGCGGCTGGATCTCGTATTGCACAGAAAAGGAGGCCCAAGGCTTGGTGGGCGGCCGGGTGGGTCAGTGGTCGCCGCACATGGGCAAGTTCACAAACGTGAACACGTTGAACTCCGTCATGATGGAGAAGCACAGGAATACGCCGTACAGGAAAAGGCACCCGCACCCGAGCTTCTTGTCCAGCTGCCACTTGTTCAGGTGAACGCCAAACACCTGCAACACACACGGCGGGGTCAGAGAGCGCCGGAAGAGGAGGCCCGGGGAGGGGAGGGGCGGAAGTGGGGGGTGGAGGTGTGAGAGGGGCCACCAGTGGCTGGCCTCACGGAGCACCGATTGTCTCTGAGCACCCTTCAAGCTCATCGCTCCCATTTTGGAAGATCAGAACACCAAAATCAAGAAGAGAAGTCAGAACTTTAAAACAACTTTAAAAAAGTCATAACAGGGGCGCCTGGGTGGCTCAGTGGGTTAAGCCGCTGCCTTCGGCTCAGGTCATGATCTCGGAGTCCTGGGATCGAGCCCCGCATCGGGCTCTCTGCTCAGCAGGGAGCCTGCTTCCTCCTCTCTCTCTGCCTGCCTCTCTGCCTGCTTGTGATCTCTCTATCAAATAAATAAATAAAAAATCTTAAAAAATAAAAATAAAAAAATAAAAATAAAAAAGTCATAACAATGGGACCAACCGACACAGGCACTGCGGCCACCCCACTAACCCTGGACTTCAACCCAGCACTGCTCTGTGCCGGCAACCCCTGTTTTCTCTTCAGCCTCTTGTCCCCAAGCAGCCCCTGGCTCTTCCTGAGGACGCATCTCCTGGCAGGTGGTGGCCACTATCTCTTCTATTCCTATGCCTGGAGGCAAAGTAGTTGTACCCGTTGCTCCTCACTGCTACTTTCCCCAAAACACCCAGCTTGGAATCTAAAGCCTTCTAACAGTCACACTCCATCCCACCTGGCTACAGTCTGCACTGCACACCCGGCCTCTCGCCCTCCCCTTTCCTCAGATCCCTGAGTCCCACTCACTGCCACTCCTATCTACAGCATCCGAACATCCTTCCCCACGATTTCACCGTCCATGGAGAGGATTTTCCCAACACCTGTCCTCCACCCCATCTCCAACCCTGCACCTGCACTGCACTAGTCTCATGTGGCCACCCAAATCTGGACATAAGTAATATTAAAAACTAAGTTGCTCAGTTGCACTAGCCCCATGTCATGGGCTCCACACCCACACATGGCCAATGCCTGCTGTCAGTGCAGGTGCAGGCACAGGCCACTGGACAGGTTCTGCTGGACACTCCTACAGCTGAGAGCCGGCGATGAGCAAGAACAGAAATGACTCTATCCTCTCAGTGTCCTTTATCCTGCTCTCTGACTGCCATCTCCTCTTTCCAGCTTAGTCCGTCTGGAAGCCTCCCTCCCGAAACTCTACAGACCTGCAAGGACCCAGAACTCATTGCTACCACCACCATTCCACCGCACGCCATCCCTTGGACCCACCCATGTCCCACCTTACCCTGCTGAAATCCCACCAGCAATTTCTAGAACCATCCCTGGGCATCTACTGCCATTCATTGGCCTCTCTGGTGATGTCGGTGAAGCCTCAGTCTTGGGTTTGAGCCCAGCTTCCAGGGACTCCACATTCCTTCCGTGCTGCTGACCCAACCTGGAGGAAAATGCCTGGCCATGCCGAAGGATCTCCCTTTAAATTCAAGCCCACAAATCTCAAGTGGGCCATTAATGGCAATCCTCCCACATTTCTCTAAGTGCGCACTCACCTTTTCTTGGATGGTTGTTTCCAGCCTTTCCTCTCTTCTCAGACCCCCCTTAACCCCTTCTTTCCCCTTCACTCTCAGCACATGACCATGTTCCCATCCACAGAGCTCCCACCACCAGATCCACTTGCTCGCCTTCTCTCCTGCTAGTGAGGACCCGATGTCCATGGCCCTGTCCACAGCGCACTCCTCCACATGTGTACACAAGTCCACCTCCCTTACCACTTGAGACATGGCCCCAGCAACTGCCCCTCTTTCATATCCGCCTCCCCACGCCACCTCTGGATTACTCCAACTGGGATACAAGAATCCTGCTACTTCTCTCCTCTTAAAAAAACAGCTACATTTTTTTCTGGATAGACATTTCTCTCCTTTCTTTACAGCAGGGTGACTTGAAAGCGTGGTAAATACCACTTTGTCCAATTTCTCTCCTTCCATTCTCCATTAACTTGTTCTACTTAACCTTCTGTCTCATTGCTGCACACAACCACCCTCTCACCAAGAACACCAATAATTTCATATCGCTAATCTGAGCGGCCAGTGCTCAGGACTCACCTTCCTGAGAGAGCCGATCACTCCCTCCACCCTGAAATACCTTCTCTACTTGGCTTCCAGATGCCAGACTCCCCTGGTTTTCCTCCTACCTCCCTAATTGCGCACTCTGTTTCTTTTAGTGTTTTATTATCATCATCCTGACCTCCGGAGGGCACCAAGACTCGGATGTTGGGCCTCTTCTCTTTTCTGTCCTTGCTCACCCCCTTGCTGCCTGCATCTAATTGCATGTCTTTAAATATCAGCCACGTTCTGGGGCCTCCAGCTTGAATGTTTCTCCTGAACTCAGACTCCTCTTTCCAGTGGCTTTTTTGACCTCTCCCTTGGGTGTCGAACAGGCACTGAAAGCTCACGATGTTTGAAATTGCTCTTCCCCCACTGCTGACAAACCTACTTCTCTTCCATCTTCTAGCAACCCCATTTCAACATCCCAGGTGGAGGCTAGCCTCATCTCCTACAGGTTGTACAGGTATAGCTGTAAGCATGCGCTCTGATGTCAGATGGCTTGCCCCTTCATTCATTTGGTGTCAATTCCTCTAGCGGTCTCAGATGTTCATCTGTATAATGGGGCTGGTAGAGCGGCTACTTGATGGGCATATGGTGAGGTTCAAATGGGAAAATGTATGCAAAGCAATGAGCATAATGTGTGGCTATGACAGGTATCATAAGCCTAGGTCACATGAGACCCAAAGAAACTCCCAAGCTACAGAACAAAGAATTACATAGATTCCCACTTTTGTGTAAGGCAGTGTTTGCCTTAGCGAATACTTGACATTTGACTCACAGCATGATCCTGTCAATGACCTCCAGCTTCCTGCCTGCTCTTCTGAATTCCTATTCTCTAGCATATGGACGTTCACATGCCAGTGTAATTCAATGACTGTTTCCTTGAAAATTTCAGGAAGAAACACACTGCATCTCAATGTTTTCTAATGTGAAAATTCAACTGCCTACTTGTATGTTAACAGATATTTCATGTGGACCAGTCCATGTGTTGGTGCAAATCGATTTCCACCAAAACATGTCAGCTGAGTTGGAATATCAAATTATACAAGTAGATATAATGGCCAAGATAGCAGAATGGCATAAAAGTACACTTCAGTAAAATACTGTATTCTTAGTCTCTGAGTGTTGGTCAAATCCATGGATTTATGGAGATGCTTACCAACCTGGAACAGATAATTAATTGGAATCTACCCTTCTCTTGACTAATCTTGCAGAAAAAGTGGGATCTCCTTCACTTTTGATAAAAATGGCTTGGGCTTGACATGAGGCAGGGCCACGCTTCTCAGAGGAAGGCTGGCTCCTCTCATAAAGAGGGAAGGCTTTCTAGTGAGTTGCTAGGATCCACTTCTAAAGGAAACAGCCATGAAGGAGATGGGACATCTGGAGGCCAATTGTCCTCATCCCGGTGGCCAAGCCCATCTGGTGTCCAAACAAACTCTGTAGCCAAAGAACCCAAAGGCGGGGGTGGGGGGTGGGGGGAGAGGAGTCACAGGAACTCGAGAGGGGAAGGAGCTGTAGCCTACCGTGACAAAGACGGAGGCCAGGAGTAAGCCCACGGAGTAGATCAGTCCTCTGCTGTTCAGCCGAATCTGTAAGAAAGGATGTACAGTTAGGCTTCTAAAAAGGCATCTGCTCAGTGCAGGGGCTGAAGCAACTCTGAGTGGCGATCAGTCCAAATCTCTCCTTTAGGACGACAAACAAAAGGGAGCTTGGACAGCCATGCTCTGCCCCTCTGCTGGGAGCAGGGATGTGCGTTTTCCTAGGACAGCTAGGGGCGCCCTTGTCTTGTCCCCTCTCAGTCCAACCCCATCCTACCCTCCAGAGATAGGGCCCGCTGGGGTGCTCCATGGCCACCTGAATTCTCTGTGGTGTGCAGCCTGATTCTTGGTGCCCACAACACTTCCCTGTGGACCTGACCTCCAGGGAGCTCACTCTTTCTTGACATTCAACTTTTAGGGTAAATCTCGTGACACTGAGGGATGGGAGCAATATTTTAAAAAGTATTACTAAACTTGTTATCTCTTTTGCATTCAGTTGTCTGTGAACTGCCCCAGACTGGACCGGAAGAGATGGGTGAGTCTTGCTCTTGTCAGCAAGCAAAGAAGAGGAAAGAGTTAGCATTCCATTCCTGGTATTCGTAAAAGGATTTTGTTTTGTTTGTCTTACAGGGTAAGATAGTGGGGTGAACTGCCAAACACTGAGGAGAAAGAGAGAAACAATTTTTGGAATTCTTTTAAGATAGCACTGTCCAGTAGAACTTTCTGCCATGATGAAAATGTCCTGTATCTTCGTTGTCCCATATGGCAGCCATTAGGCACACGTGGCTTGTCCAGCTGAACAAAAATTTTAATCTTATCTTCAATTAATTCAGATTTACATTTAAAGAGCCACATGTGATTAGTGGCTGCAGTATTGGGTAGGGCAGGTAGGGAATATTTAGAGGCCACTTGGCCAAAAAAGATTACAAAGTTTCTTTCATAGTGTAGAGAAGATGTCCCTTCTGCTTGACCTAGGTCAAAGGTCATGAGGTCGGCTACCCTAAAATAGGAAGTATGTCTGAGAGTAGCCATGCTCGAAGCATCCTCCCTGGACCAGCATCATTTGGGGGTTTATTAGAAATGCAGGATCTGGGGCGCCTGGGTGGCTCAGTGTGTTAAGCCTCTGCCTTCGGCTCAGGTCATGATCCCAGGGTACTGGGATCAAGCCCCACATCAGGCTCTCTGCTTAGCAGGGAGCCTGTTTCCTCCTCTCTCTCTGCCTGCCTCTCTGCCTGCTTGTGATCTCTGTCTGTCAAATAAATAAATAAAATCTTAAAAAAAAAAAAAAAGAAATGCAGGATCTTAGGACGCCTGGGTGGTTCCGTTGTTTAAGCAGCTGCCTTCGGCTCAGGTCATGATCCCAGCGTCCAGGGATTGAGTCCCACATTGGGCTCCTTGCTTGGCGGGGAGCTTGCTTCTCCCTCTGCCTCTGCATGCCACTCTGTTTGCCTGTGCTCACTTGCTCTCTCTCCCTCTCTCTCTCTGACAAATAAGTAAATAAAATCTTAAAAAAAAAAAAAAGAAATGCAGGATCTCAGGCCCCACCCAGACTTCCTGAATCAGAAACTTTGGGGGTGGGGCCCAGCCAAGTGTTTTAATAAACTCTCCAGATGGTCTGATGCATGAGAAAGTTTAAGAACCACTGACTTTGAGCCGGTACTGAGGCTAAATCCACTTCTGATCTCCACAGGTTTGGGGGCTAGGACTTTGACATTCATTTTCACCAGTTCTCTTGGAAAATCTTATCTGCATGGAGGCTTGGGGACCACAGAGCCCCCAACAACATACACTGTTCTTCTGGGAATCAAAGGTTCACCTGTACCTACAGGAAGGAAAAGCAAGGCAGGTTGATCATTTTATTAGAGAACTGAGTGGTGACTGTTACTAGAAGTGGTTTGGGGCCCTTCTGACAAGGTTCAAGGTGCCTCTTGGCACCCTTTTGCCAGTTCACCCCTGGGGTGTAGGTATGGGAACATGGGGGTGTCTCTGTAGGTGGGTGTGTTCGGTTTACCTTTTGGTGACAGGAAACTCCATGCCCTTAACAGTCAAAACCTTTGTGTGGGGATCCAGGGGCATACCATATCTTCTTATGCAATGTTCTGTCACAGAGGGAATGCACCAGTCCCTCTCTCCTATTGGCACAATCCGTGTGAGCCAACCATTGACTGAACCCCAACTGGAAATTATTCCTAGCCACAAAATGCCTTCAGAAGAGCAAAGGACTCAAATCACATCTCTGTGATACTAAAGCAATGGGTTAACCTGGATAAGTTCATGTAAAAAAACGAGGGATCAGATCCATCCCTGTCCAGCTGGTAGCTTATCTTCCTGCAAACCTTCGATCTGCCTATAGATAGATTTCCTCCTTTCACCAGCTGTGTAGGGATAGAGAGGCTAATAGCTAGGAGTGTAGCACGAATACTGAAAAAGTATTCTGTCCATACTGAACCTATGATAATCCCACATGTACCCTGGCCAGAGTTGGAGGGCAGGGGCAGGGCTCCTCAGAGAAAGATGGCAGCTCCTGTGCAGAGTGAAGAAGAGTCTGCAGGGGCTGTCCCCAACACGCAGGCCTTGGGCTCACCCTGAAGATGTGAGCACACACTCAGAAACCCTTTTGAGCTCTTAACTGTCAACACTGCGTGGATTCTGCCGATGCATTCCCAGCCCAGCTCACCCTTTGAGCTCTAGGGTTGAATCATTATCAGCAGTAAGAATTGAGTAAAGTGACTTCCTGTCCTTTGGAAACCAAGAGCCATTGAGAGCTAGGCTCTAAGCAGGAACCTTCTCTTTGGCCAACCCTTCTATCTTTTCAAAATCAATCATATTAAGCTAGAGCTTTGGAACTTTATTCTTCCTCCATTGACATAAAATCTCAAAGAGTGGTGCTTCTAAAATTCTAAATCTGGCTCCAAAGACTAAAGACAACTGACTTGGTGGGCTTTTTTGAGTATTTTTCATATTTTCGCCTTTTTCTCTGCAGTCATCCTTTGGTAACAGATTGCCACATGCATCCAGAGGTAATTTTTGTATTTTCAGTCATTACAGACCTGGGGTTTCAAAGCCTGTATTGAGTCCTTGCTATCTGAACCCTCATCTCCACACGGACATGGCAGTCAGGAATTAGGGTTCCTTCAGTTGCTTCTGGGTCCAACTTGAACATCTCCCAATCACTGGAGACTACGGATGGTTTGGGGCAAGAGTTGGCCAGCTGTGGGCCATGGGCCGAGTCTGGCCCATTGCCTGATTTTGTAGATGAAATTTATTGGAGCTCAGCTCGTTCATTTGCATATTGTCTACTTCTGCAGTGGCAGAGCCAAGAAGTTCCATAGAGACCATAAGGCCCATGAGGCTTAAAATATTTCCCCTCTTGCCCTTTCCAGAATGTCTGCTGATCCCTGGTTTGGGGCATGGGCTCCTGATCCAGTTCACCAAACCCCTTTTGAATCCCTGCTTGGTCACCCACTTCCTCTATCATCATGGAAAAATGACTTAACTTCCCATGTCTCAGTTTTCTGAGAAGTAAAATGGGGATAATACAATTTCTACCTCATCAGGTGGTTGTGAGGACTCACTGAATTAATCCATGTTAAAAAGCTTGAAAAGGATCCAGTGTACAGTGAGTTCTCAGTGTGTCTGGGCCATTATTCTCCACTCAACCCATGAGCTGCCTAATCCCTTCTCTGGTACCCCTGGCTGCTTCTTTTATAAACTCACCACCTAGGAGCCCCCTCTTCAAAGCCTTAGTAGATGACAAACACAGTAAGGGTGGGGACCATGTCTGATTTTATCCTCTGCCTTGCACAAGGATGAGCACAGACCACATGCTTCCGTATGTAACCAATGAAGAGATGATGAATCCATTTCCTTTGCAGAAGTGAAATGGAGCAGGGTGGACTATTCACAGAGATGCTGGGAGCAGGGAGACCCCAGCTGCCATTTCTGGATAGTATTCCAGAAGCAATGCAATCCTATCCAACATTCCCTGTCCCCTTTCCCCACTTTATTTTTTTATGAATGCATGTAGCCTTTTTTTTAACCTACCATTTTATTATGAAAGTTTTCAAGCATTCAGAAAAGTTGAAAGAATTACACCATTTTATTAAACCATTATAGTTCACAGGTCTTTTGTTTCTAGATGCAATTTCCATATGGTGGAATTCACAAATCATAACTACACTGCTCAGTAGTTTCTGAGTTTCTGAGTCTCAGAGTTTCTGAGAAATGCATATACCTGTGTAACCTAAACCTAAACTGTAACCATGATAGAGTACACTTCCATCCTCCCCAGAAAGTTCTCTTGTTCCCTCATCATTCTCACCCAAGATCAGTCACTGCTTCTAGGCTTAGCCCGTCCAAGAAAGTTCATATAAATGGAGCCCTATAATGTGTGTTCTTTTACATCAGGATTCTTTTACTCAGCAGAATTTTTTAAGTATTTCTTCATTTCCTTTGTATTTTTCATTACATCAATAGCTCATTTCTTTTTGTAACAGCAAAAATATGTCATAGCTCATCTAGATATTCTCCTATTTATGGACATCTGGCTTGCTTCCAGTTTGGGGCTATCAACATGCATTGATTTTATAATTCACAAACACAACGATAAGAGACCTACAGAGGCCCCTGTCACCCACAGGAGAAGCAGGAATGAAGATAATGAAGACAGCCAGGGGGGTCTGCTGGGACTTCAAACATGCTCTTTCACATCCCAGCATCCTGTCTCTCTAGCTGGGCACTAGGAGCCTCTCCAAACAGGAGATTCACCTTCCTCACCTTAGTACACTGCTGTCTCCCTTTTGGAACCTCAGTCTGGTCAGATGGGTTGCGTACCCCTACTCAACCTCAGCTCTATTCTGCCCATCCCTCCCTCAGTCCTTTTGTCTCTTCCAGGTTCACTGAGCCCTCGCTGGCCCTAGCTCCACTTCTGATGCAGATCACTTCCCAACCTTGTCTGCATAGCCTTCCCTCCTCTCCAGCCAGTCCCACAGCTCTGATGGCAGATGCTTGGTCTTCAGTTTTTCCTCCTTCCACCCAGCACCTAACTCCCA